CCCCAAAACCCCAAAACCCCAAAACCCCATTGGTTACAATTACTTATAATTTGAATGATTTTATTAAGAAATTAGATTTATGAATTTTAAAAAATCAAATTTCTATACTTTTAATGAATATTATTTATTAAAGTTATAGAAATATTCAGTTAGTAATCTTAATATCGGGTTTATACGATCTCATATTGACCCATTTCTGTTAGATCATGATTTTTCATCTCCACCCTCTTTCTCTTTATCCTCAGGCTATGGAGCAGTAGCGGCTTCTAAAATAAAGTTATGATAATTGAATAATTACTGTCGTTGCTATCGGAGATAACATATTTATCCTTTTCAAGAGCAATAGAAGTATGAAGTGGGAACCATGAAATATCTTCCTCAAGTAACTTATAGTGGATAAAAGACTCTGTACCATTGTAGTCAGTCTTGTCCTTAGTCTTCAAATGAATAATAAAGAACACATATTGCCAGAGATTGTGCTCATTAGCAATATGATGCATAAATCCATGTTCTGAGTCTCTATCAAACTATGCAAATTTATAAATTTCAATGATTGCTTACAGTTTGCCTGTCTATGTTACAGATAAAGCAAGTATTTTTCATGTCATCATCAATAAAGCGTTTGTTTTCTCTTAGTTCGGCGAAGGTATCGATGATGATACCGAAGATAATGTTCAAGAACATAATGATAACGATCAAGAAGAAGGACAAGTCGAAAACCACTCTCAAGTAAAACTCTTCAGTAGTTGAATTCAAATAAGAAAGGGCGGGCAATGCTTCTCCGATACCTCCTCCTGCTCTCAAACCATAGTTTATAGTAGATATGAAACAATGGAATAAAGATTAGCAAGTCATATCTCCCTTTTCTCCAATCCATTCCTCAAGATTGATATCTTCATTGTAGTACATATCAAAGAAGAATGCATAACCCAGGACAGAGTATATATAGATAATAATAATGCCTAACATTGCAGTCATCAATAACTAGTTCTTGTTAGTAGTGATAGCTGCTATAACGTTTCTAAGTGTACTGAATCGGTTCTAAAAGTTATCAAGGATTTAAAGCTTACGATGATATCCAAAAGTTAGAAAGAATAAAATATTGGAGACTAATACAATCCGAGTAAAGAGAGTGCTAGATATATAACAAAGAATTTAAAGGATCCATTCCCAATAACAAAACTAGCACTAATCCAAAGATACTCTAATTTTAGAATAAAATGACCAAGTTTTAGTTCTCCATCATCAATAAATTCTTCTGCTAATGGTCCTTAGGTAATCAAGATAAGTCTTGCATCTAATAAACTCATTTCATCCGCTTTTTTCAAGTTAAAGCTTCCTTAATCTTCCTCTTTTTTCTTTTATAGTACTCCCTAATACTTTATTCTATTTTCTTCAGTGTAGACTCTCCAACCAGCCTTAATGATAAGAGCTGCCTTATTTATAACCCAGCCAATGAGTAAGCATGCAGCAGTTCCAAGCTAAATATATCCCATAATCAGAATAGCAAGGCCTGGGGTTGGGTCAATAGTTGGACCTACATCAAGTGAACCGTCACTATAAGTGATGGAATCATATTTGTAATATCCTATAATAATGATACTAATTCCAACAGCTAGCAGTGTAGAGCAATCTCTGAGAAAATTCAATCTGTCAGGGGTGACTTAGATTTTCTATCTTGAGAGTACTTCAACATGCTCCATTTCATCAATAAGATCTGGCACAGACTTAAGTAATCCCAGAATTTTTTATTAGGGACTAGTTCTATCTACATTTAGCATTAGTGCTTTTCGACTTTGTTCCGAAAGGAATCTGCAAACTGGTTTCAATGGGAAATACACTCTCTATAACTACTCACCATCAAGCAATATTTCAATCTGTCCAGTATTGTATTTGAAGAATTGATAGTAATTATTTTCCTCGAAAGATTCTATTTTCTTTTTCGCTTCTGGATAGCAATCAGCCAGAGAATTTATAAGAATGAAGATATCAAAGCCTTCTTGGACGTCTCCGTCAAATGAGTCTTTCCTCAAAGCAGATTATACTGTTGCTAAGGAAGATGAGGTTGATATTGAAAGTTCATTCTCAACAAAGGCATTGAAAACAGTATTCAATCTTTCGAATATGATTTCAAAATCATCAAGTGATATTGTTATATTTCTGATAATTTCTTAATCGATGGGGCCTTCAATAATAGATAATAGTAGTCTTACTGCTTTCATCTTCAATCCATCAAGCAATTTTATTTTTTCTCCAGTAAAACCCTTTTCTTTAAGTTCTCTTTCACTCTATGTTCCTTATGAAATCATATCTCTGCAATTATCAATGACTTTTGCATTAACCAATGCTCTTTAATTTTCTTTGCAAGGACCTTAGACAAACTCAGTTAGAGTTTCAATCATTTAGTATCCAAGATAGCATGAATAGCAATTAACATATTAATTTTCATAATTTCCTAGCATTGTTGAGATATATGAGACAATATCAAAAGTTTTAGAATTGGTTTGACCAGCGCTTGTCGCTTATTCTCTCAAGAAGTCTTGCATTGGCGTGAAGTGATTTTCTGTTAATAATTAGAGGAATCTCAATATCCTCATAAGTTTGTTTATAGATTATTACTTGTTTTGGTTTACTTAGCTTGTCTCATCTGCATAAGTTTCATTATTTTCCTTTTTCTTTGAATCATCCTCATGATTTTGGAAACTATCCTCTAAAGTCATAAGATTTTCTTAGCTTGTATCATGAATTTTAGCTTCTTCAGGAATTTTTTCTCTGCTAATTAAAGCAGAAGCAATACTCTTTTGAATCTTATCTTAGATAGTTCTTTGTTTTTTCAATGCTTTATCTTATAGCTTTGATACCATTATTAACTTAGCTATCTTCTCACTTAAATAGTTCTTGGTGTTATCGAACTGCTTGACTAGCATATTTTTTATCTTCAAGATCACTCTGTTGTGAGGATCATTATCTTGCATATATTGTAAGAATGCCTCCTGTGATTTCTGGTTACCACCGAGTAAGATAGCAATACCAGCTAAAAGTGCTTACTCTAAAATATCATCATCATCTACTTCACTTATATGCTTGCAAATGAATCTGATTGTTCCTATTTCAACAAGGGCATCTTGTTTCATTTTGATAGCACTCTTAAATTCAATCCAATCGTCTGTATCCCAATCAGCAGCAGGAGTTACTAAATCTTCATTCTCAACCTCGATGATTTTCCTAATTAATCTAAGGCCAGATATATGCAAATCTTTGCTTAAATCTTTTGAATCAATTAAATTGAGGATTGCACACACTACAGATTAGAATGTCAAATTCTCAAAAGATTTCAGATTATATTGTTATTCTCCTCTCTAGTTTTAATTTCTGGTAACTTAGCGAATTTTCTTTTCAATATTACAGACCCAAACGACTAGTTCTTCAAATTCTTTTTCAATTTAGTCTTTGATATCTTTACTTTAGGTTAATTGAACTATTTTTGTAGTCAATGAGCTTGATTTTGAATTCTCAACTGTTTAATCAGCTTCTTTTTTCCTATCCTCTTAATCTTAATCTTCAATAGTGTTATGTTCAGCCTATCCTATGAAAGGATGCTTAACGCTTTCAATATATCTAGAGTATCTGGCACTCTCATGAATGAATTTCAATAAGTAGTAGGCATCTTTCTTTACATCATAGTATTAATTTGAGATATAGTAAAGCTTTGCAATATACTTAGCCATTGCAGCCAGCAACTTCTCATAGCTATCTATTTTGATTGTCCTTTTCTTTAACAATGCTTTGAAGAAAGGAATAACTGCTTTACCGAGGAATTGGAAAGAAAGTTGTTTAAGAGTAATAACCTCACCCGATGGATACTTAACAAACACTTCATCCTCTGTTTGAGTATTCTCAACTATATTTATCAAGTCATTTACAATAACTTCAGCACTTTTCCAAAGGAATCTCAAACCTGCTTCATCATCTTCTGCTAGGACTAATTTATTTTAGCTGTCTAGGAAGCATTGAGTAATATATTGAGTGGTCGTATGCTTTAGAGGCCAGAAATACTCACAAGACTCAAGAATTTTATAAGCACTCTCTATTGGGAGAACATCAGTTTGGCATTTTAATTCTGCAACATCGCTCTTACCCTCGCAGCATATGGAGAGGAGCTCGATGCATTTAATAATGTTGAAAATAGGTGTAGTTACAATCATTGTTGGCCCAGTAACATATGAACCATTGATGTAGTTCTCAAGAATCTCAATATCTTTGCTAGAATTAATTAGAGTATTCATTTCAGAAAAGCCTTCATTTGAAAACAGATAGAGAATACTACTACGGGCAACATTGTTTGTCATAAAAATAATGATGTCCTGTTAATTCTATCTGACTAATTTGTCCTTAAATCTACAGAATACAGTCAAAAGTTTAAGCAGTGTTGCTTTCTTGGTTGAGTTTATGTCAGCCTCTTCGGAAGCTGCTACAATAGTCTTTAGGATCTTGCTCACATTCTAATAAAACAATATAAATTGAATAAAAATCTATACCAAATTAAGAAGTCTTTTGTTATCTCTGAAAATCTCATAAATTAAAAGACTTGCCAAAGTGAACTTTTCGATGTCCTTCAAGAATACATCAAGATTATCTCTTAATGTAGTTTGATTAGCTAAATTTTATCTCACAAATCTTATCAAAAAGCGATAGCATTACCTAAATTATGAAATTAAGATTAACGAAATGGATATTAATATATGTACTTGATTAGTTTGATGTAATCTTAATTTTAAGATGCACTTTGCTCCATTCTATATTGGATAAAGAAAATGGCTAATTCCTGCATCTAGAAATTTCTCATTATTCTTTGATTTTCTTTGTTCTCACTATTCTTGAATTCCATAAACATGATATATTCCTCATTTTCCATTAGCTATTTATCTTCAGCATCTTGCTCTTCTTCTGCAGTGTCCTTCATTACAGTTGAATTGGAAATTAAACCAGAAAGCATATTATTTTAACTCTTATCCATTAGCCATTTTGCTAATTGAACTCTAGGTTTTCTACCAGAATGTAAGATGATACCATTGTTGTTTACACAGTAATGAGTCACATACTTGAATATTTCACTGACTCTTAGCTTGTTTTCTGTAGCAACTTTCTCTTTTTTATTCATCCAATCATCGGCTTCTTAGATGTACATTTTTAGTTCGCTTTAATAGATCTTAACTTTGTTGAGAACATCGATTGAGGTTTTTTGTTCCAAAATTTGAACATTATTCAAAGCTTCAAGCATAGTTCTTCTTCTAGTAAAGTATCTTACAAGAAGCTCAAACGCTGCTTAGTTTAGCTCTGGATACTTGTATAGTAATAGATCAAATAACATGCAGATGTAAATATCTTCTATCTACTCTTCGAATCCCCTAATATTAGCAATATTATTAAGGAATTCATTGTTGCTCTAGAACTAAAGCAATCTTTTTAGATCTATTGGGTTATCTGAATTCAATGCTTATCTTAGCTTTCCAATAAATACTGAGCTCTGCCCAAGAGAAATATTATTTTATCCGATTTCTTTGCTATCATTAAGCATTGAAGAATTACTCTTTTTCTCAGGACTTTTATTAGAGTCTTTTCTAGCAAAACTATTATTAAATAACTTGCCAAGTATAGCTCTCCCGAAACCTCCACTTACCTCATCATTTTTCTTAACTAACTCCATATCATATTTTAGTTTGGAAAGGAAGAGCTCAGTTTTTCCATCTAACTCTAATTAGGATATGAAAATTAAGCAATCACATTGAATTTTTTTGCTCTTTAAAATAATCTCATTTTCTTTGCTGAATTTATAACGCTCTTACGTTGCTGCTTAGTCAATTTAGTTTACGGCCTAAGAATAGTTATTTTCATCAGTATAAATATCGTTAGAACCGTCCAAAAGCAGGATTAAAGGATATGATAACTCATTTAGCTCTTGTTGATCTTTATAAAATCCATGACTTAACATGAAATATAGGGACTTGAGAACCCAGAAAATGAATTAATTTTTCTTCTTTTCAAATACACTTTGCACACCATTTTCTTCCTTAAGGTAGTTAAGTACAAAATCTTTGAATTGCAGGAGATTTTGAGGTATTTAACATTTTGCTTGCTAAATAAGATAACCTTTATCATTTTAGTTGATCAGAGTTTAAAGATTAGGAATTTCACTTTAAATCATAGTTAGAGCTGGTATTTGCAGTGGCTCTAAGGGCTCCTTATCAATATACATGTTAAGGAAAAGTTCGATAAAGTAAGATCTCATATCGAAAGGCAACTCTTTATCATAGATTATTTTTATTGAAGAGTCCAGGTTAAAAACTTGCTAGAGCTGAGTCACAGCTCTCATGTTTCTTCCTTACACGAGATCGGCAGCTAATTCTACTATTGACAAGAAATATTTGTAGATTCTTCCATTATCTTTTGAATAAGAGATTTCTCTCAACTCTCTTATTGGAATGAAAGTTCCAGACCTTAATTGAATTTCTACTTCTGTATCCTTTAGTCTGATCGGCATCATAAGCGTTTCTTTTGTATCTTAATCCATAAGTAAATATCTCACAACATCATTCTAATTTCTAACTATTGGCATTCCATTACAAGTACAGAGAGCAGTTAAAAGCTTAATTAGTCGCTTGTGTCTTTCTTGTGATTTACAAAGAGAAATGAATTGAGAGATAATTTTTGGATTAATTTGAACTTCTAGGAGTTTCCTATTGTCTGATACCAGTTCGTTTACAGTTGTCTAAGCCTGAATATCATTGAGATTATTTGTTTTCATCGCCTGCATGAAGAAAAGATTGATCCATTAAGATGCATACATTTCATTGATTTCATAACCACCAACTGCGTTTTTAAGCAAAACATAGGCTAGTGAACATAACTTGGTAATTTGATCTTCTTATGTAATCTTTTCTAAATCGTATGCGCCAGTGTGGAAAGGATAGAATAAAATTTATACTAGTAACTCGACCAGATAAAGTTCCCTGACTATCTTTTATCTCTTAAAAATTCTCTGTCTGATTGTAGTAAGATCCTCTTCTGAACCTTAACTAAAAGTTTGTTAGGTAGCCGAAGATTCTTGCCTCTATTCCATCTTAGATTCACCTCCATCTTCTTTTCCTTTGACGAACCTGTTTAGATTAGTCAATATTTTTTCAACCTGAGCGTATATTTCTTTTGGTATCTCATGTCCCTATCTACAGAGAAAAGGTACTGCAGATTTGAGAATTCCAAGTGATGAATGGACAAATAGGATATCTTAGAGTGAGTCTAGTGATTCAAGTTGGATAAAGAAAGCATCTGTGTGGCCTGCAACTTGTTTAAGCTCGACTACATTTCTATAAGCCTGAGTGATCTCCAAGTCTTCGATAGGCTGATAGAGTTGATTTCCAAATCCTATGTTCTCATCTTCACCCTCGTTTTTATCTCTTTCTGTTTTATCGCCTCCAACTATACCGCTCCCACTAGTTGCTTAAGTTTTTGAATTGGATTTATTTGCATGGACGAAAAACGATTTCTTCTTGACACTGAGATACTTGCCTGTTTTAACATGCTGTATCTTGACACAGACGTTATTCTATAGTGTTTTGTCCTCTTCGGCATTAGTAGATGTCATTCGGAATAATGTGTTCTCTATAAGTTCCTCCTTTTTATCCTCATCCTCCAGCTAATATTCCTAAAATCTGTGTCTGGTATTTGATGCCTCAGTCTTCTCACCTTTTTCAAGTCTCTTCAACTCAAGATGCTCACTAAGACCCAATGTAAGCAATTTTTGACCTTCAAACATGATTTCTTGAGCACTTACTAAACGGCCACTGTTGAGATGTCTTATTCTGAATAGCATTTCCTCACCGTCATCGTCAGGAATAGATTCTACACCTACCTTTCCTTTATTGTTTTCGCAACCGGCAATCTCTAGTTCAAACAAACTGGATGTGTTGAAGTTCTCTACATCGAGTTATTTACCCTTGTAGGTCCATAAAAACACCTCAGCCATTCCGTCATTGGTGAAATCTTTATCATCGGAAGCAAGGTACCCACCAAGCTCGGAGTGCTGGAATTTGACTACTGAGCCGCCTCTTATAATCTGCGGATCTTATTCATCAAAGTTTGCGAATGGCAAGATTTGGAATCTAGAGAGCTGTGTCGAAATGTTTAGTTCAAACAATGGGCAATATTAGTTAGCTATAAAATATAAAGAAAAGGGTTAATTTACGAGGAGTCCTTCTATCATTTTCTTGAGGACAGATTTGCTTCTAAATGTTCTCTGGTAGCTCAGGAAGTTCTAGGGGCTTCTCAATGTGGAGAATTTACTCAGTTATGTGTAGGTAAAGATTCAACTTCTGATTTTAAAGCACGACTTAGTCACCAAAAAGTATCTTCTCACCCTCTTGTCTGTATTTATACCTTGGCATTACTTTGAAGTAGATTGAACTAGAGCCATGATCAGATAGCTCAACCTTATTACAGGACTTGTCTATCTCGGCGCACATCTTCTTGGCAGTTATGAAGGTTTGAGAATCGTCATGGAGTAACTGAATTTCTTAGCCGTAAGTCACAATCTCACCCTTTCTACGTTCAAGAACTTTCTGGTTCATTTCCTCCTCTTCTTGCAACTTCTTCTGCAGTTGTTGCATTTTCTTCTTAAAGGTCTGCTCTTCAAGCCCATTTTACCTAGTAAATTAAGATATTGTTGAATACCTTTTCTTCTAAGCACCTCCCTTTGAGTCTCCACGAGTTGTGTGTTATTGTTTGTTACCTCCTCTTGGCGAGCCACTACCCTGACCACCGCCTCCACCGGAATTCTTTGAAAAGAATCTCGATGCTTGATTGTAATCTTTTCTGGCATCATAGTTTAGTTTGGGACAGATTTGAAATACGAAATCTCTGTAATTTCTTACAAATACTTCGTTCTCATAATTACTTTTCTGCACATAGCAATTCGGATTAGTAAAACTATATATCATGATTAGACAAGAATAGTCTAGCGTTACCCTTGTGATTAAACAAAGCCTTAGACAGTCTCTACATAGAGGACTACTTTATCACCGTATTTGATGTAGCTATTATCCATTTATGAAGTGGATTCTTCTTTAAAATTATATATGTATTAATAAAATTGATTTGAATCCTAACATCTCCTACAAACTTCTTAAATTATTCTGTTCTTATTTTTCATTCAAATTTTTTTAAAAGTCAATTCCACTTGGGGTTTTGGGGTTTTGGGGTTTTGGGG